ACGCAGACATACCTAGTAAAAAAAATTGAATGCGATTATTGAATGCAAGTCTTTTGTTTACACCAATGCAATTATGTTTAAGGCGATTATTGCTTTCAAGTTTTGACTTGTCTAAACACAGACTTGCATGTTCGTGTACCATTTGTTGTCGGGTTGCTTCAAGTACTGCACATATTTGCGTTGACAAATTTTTCGTGCAAGTGTTGAACGTCTTAATAGAGTCTGTTTATTAAAAAAATGAGTCTAAAGGTGTTCAAATTTGGTACGACTGAGATAATAAAGTTCATTGAGATTTATCGCAATCACGAGTGTTTGTGGGATACTGAAAATGGAAATTACAAGAATCGCGATGCACGTAAAGGCCCATTTACATGGTGCCAGTTTCTTGCCTGTTGTATATAATTAAATTGAAGCAATAAATGAGTTGCATGGTCTAAACAACAAATGGTCTAAACAATTATTGCGCGCAATTTATTGCATTCAATTATTGCTCTTGTATGTTCAAGAAAATGGCATCATGTAAATGGGCCTTAATGCTGCACTAACAGCATTTGCGCAGGAATTTGGAGTTGATGGTTTTGGACCTAAGGAAGTGACAAACAAAATAAAAATTTTAAGGACACAGTATCATGGGGAAAGGAAAAAGATAAAAAATTCAATGGGCAGCACAGGTTCCGGTACTGCTAATATTTACAAATCCAAACTTACGTGGTATAATTTAATGGATTCTTTTTTACGGAAAACCTCAGAACATAGAGAAACAACGTCAAATATGGTAAGTATGTATTTTTGTAAATTTTTTGAAGTACAGTCGGGTGCATTTACACGTTCAAGGACACAACGCCTACAGCAAAGTGTATCCTAGGTTTGAATAATCATCATAGAAAAATATGAAAGGCTGGTTGCGTTCACGAAGGCGTTAATTTGTATCATAGAATATAATTATATCCTGCGGTTTTACGCGCCTTGATTTTGTTTAAGCCATTTTTGTTCTCGTTCCCAATAATATTACAAATTTCTAAGTTTCTATGTTTTTTTGTTTAGCACGCACTGTAACACAAAAGTCACACCTTTGAAGCTGCCCGTTAATTTTTATAGATGGCAGCATATTCTCAATCACATTCGCCCATTACAATTCATGTTTATTATTTATATCCTTTTCAAGTTATTTTTAACAATCATATCCTTTTCCAGTCTTTTTATTGTGATTAATTATTTGCATGTAATCAAAAACTATTTTTAATGAAGGCAAAAAGTATCCTTCTCACGCGCGTACATAAAGTACACGCACCCATTTTTTAATTTCAATTTCAATTTGGAATGTAAAGAAAAAATGTATCTACAAGAGAAGAAATAAGTAAAATTTTCAATTACGTAATTTTTTTCTTCTTTATACTTTATTTTCTCTACTTTAAAAATGTGATAATATATTTTTTACAAAAACAGTTGGCAACCCCGATAGAAGGCTCCCTTGGGATTACGTGGGTAACACGGCGGGGCACAGCCAATAAAAAAAAATAGCATTATCTTGCCATGGTACAGCACCATCACTTTTAAAGTAATGACAATAATTATCACGGATTCTTATAGCTTCTCTTGTACTATTCCTGTTGTTCTGTGAGGTTATATTTTCGAAAGCCCCGCCTGAACCATTTTGTCTCCAAATACCAGAGAAGAAGACCAGTCCTTGAACATTCTTCGTAATTATAAATTTTTTGTTCTCTTGTTAAATCATTACGGCGAGGATATGGTTTCATTAAATAAGGTTTTAAGGGAAACGCTTCATCTCCAACAAGTAATGAATTACTTAGCAAATGTACGGTGTTCTCTTCAATAGCCTTCTTTAAAGTACAATTATTAAATATTCCACCATCAGAGTTTCTACCCTTTGCCCCCTCGTCTATGTATGTGAAACAATAATCGTGATCAACACAAGCTAGTAACACAAAACTAAATGTACTTTTATAATTAAAAAAATCTGATCCTGTACCAGGTGGACATTTTATATTTATATGCTTTCCATCAATGGCACCAATGCAGTTGGGAAAATTCCATCTCATAAAAAACCCTCGTCTTATTTTATTCCAGTCCTCTTCAGATCTTGGTACCTGTAAAATAATGAAATAAGTTTATGTTTTCAGACTAATGACACTACTCTGCCATCACAAGACGTCCTTTTTGAATGTATTGAAAATATTAAAAATTCAAGTTCAATACAAGTCCGCGACGACTTATTTCAATCTCCAATGCCGAAAAAAACAACGAAAAAACCATCTGGTTATATAGAATCGGCCTTAAATAAACTAGAGAGTATTGAAAAAAGAGCGAGGCTTGATTTAGACAATTCAAGACCAAAGGAGGATGATTTGGACAATTTTGGCAAATATGTAGCGTCTTCATTGCGAAAATTAAATACCAAATACAGCATACATGCTCAAGACGAAATTCAAGGTATATTGTCTAAATATAAACTGCGGGATCTTAAAGAAAAAGAACGACAGAACTCTACTCTAATGCCATAATCCCCGTATTCGAAAGAAGGCAATGAAGACATGCCTTGTACTTGTACACTGGAATTTGTGATTTTTTGTATTATGATTACTAATTATTTGATTAATAAATGTTTGCTTACTTTGCTATGTTGTAAATATTATTCTAAAAACAGTTTCCTTTCGTACGTACCTTTAGAAAATCTTCTAATGCAGAGTAAAAAGCTTCAAGTACTTCAACGAAGAAAATACTTATACTACACTCAGGTACTCTAAATAGTTGTGACAGTGACCTAATGAATCTCCAGTTGCCAAACATTTTAATACTATTTCTAATTTCGTGCGAGCAAGAATAGTATTACGAATTGTAGTATTTTGCCTTTGTATAGAAGAACCAACTTTATCTAACAAATAATAAAACTGGGTTCTGTTCACTCGAAACATGTAACTCTACACAAACATTGTTAGATGCTCCGAGAACCTCTCTTCTTGCCATCCATTTTTTGACCCAATACCTTCTTTTACGACGTTTTCTCAATATTTCTTGCCTCAGAAGAGCAGTGACGATTAACACAACCGTCACACACTGCACTCATGTTTGCAAATGAAGAGAGAATTCAATTGAATGCAAGAATTGTATGAGAAATTATTGTATGTGTTGTTTACACCAAGGAAAGTTTTGAAACAAAACTTGAAGCAAGCCTTGTTCAACCATATTTGTTTAGACCATGCAAGTCATTTATTGCTTCAATTTAATTGTATACAACAGGCAAGAAACTTGCATTATGTAAATGGGCCTTTAGAAAGCAATAACAGTAAATTTTAGTAGTAATGCATATATGAAATTTACAGTGCGAAGTTCTAGACTTGCGAATACTTATAATATTTTTTTATTTGTAGAGATCAATAGATAAAAACTCATGAAACCATTCTTATATCTTCTTCTATTTTACGAAATTGCAACACTATAAAATAATAAATGTTCAAAAAAGACATTTTAGTTATCGGAGGTTTATCAAACGATTATCTATGAATAAAGATTGTTATCGAACGTTTCATATGCTTAACAGACGTTTTAAATAATATACGTTTATACCTTCGAGTTACCTAACCTAAGAGTTTTATTATGAATAAAGGCCAATTAACATGGTGCAAGTTTCTTGCCTGTTGTATACGATTATATTGAAGCACTAAATGAGCTGCATGGTCTAAACAACACATAACATTCTTGACTGTTGAACAAGACATGTTTCAAGTTTTGTTTCAAAACTTTCCTTGGTGTAAACAGCACACACAATAATTTCTTAAGCAATTCTTGTATTCAATTGCATTATCTCTTTCTTTGTGAACATGAGTGCGATGAGTGAGGGTGTTTAATCGTTGCTGTTCCTTTGAAGCAAAAAATATTGAGAAAAGGTCGTAAAAATATAATTAGATAAAAATGGATAATAATATATAGATTATAAATAAAACTCAATGAAATATATTAAATCGGCATAATCTTACTTGAACACTTATTATTGGCTCATTTTTTTTTAAATATGTGCAATACTTGAAGCAACACGCCAATAAATTGTACACGCACATACAAGCAAGTGTTATAGTGTTTAGACAAGTCAAAACTTGAAAGCAATAATCGCTTAACCATATTTGTATTGGTGTAAACAAAAGACATTTGCAATTATTTGTTGTCAAGACTTGTATTATTTTTTTTACTATACCTGCGTGTAAACTGTTGCTTATTCTCGATGGTCAATTATTGCGCGCAATTTATTGCATTCAATTATTGCTCTTGTATGTACAAGAAAATGGCATCGTGTAAATGGGCCTTAAGACAGAATGTCTTTAAAGTAACTATTTAAGTTCTTGTTTTGCGAAACTTTAACAGGTTATGTCTGTAAAAAATGGCTGGAAATAATAGTTATTTGCGAAGTATTTAAATTAAAATGAAAAACAGTTTTTGTTATTAAAGTAATTTTATTTTAATACACACTATGACTAGATTTGATTACTTTGGTGTAAAGTAGTGAAGAATAATACATGCTGCAGAATTTTGTTAATAATTCATGCGATATAATAAGACGAATCTAAGCTTAGTAATGTAAATTTTATTTTCTTTATATTTTATTAATTACGAATTTTTAATTTTTTCTTGTCAAATTGTAAATTATTTCATTAAGTAAAATAAAATTACATAAAATAAGTATCACTGCTTTATTTTTTTAACATACTGACAAAATACATAATATGTGTTTAAACGGAATCGTAGCAAACATTTAAACAATTGTAATCATATTATCTCATTGAACTCCTCAATTTTTCTAACATAACAACAACTTGGGCTACAGGCGAACGGAATAAATACACGGCAGGCTCTAACTTAGAATCTAGTTAGTACTAATAATGAGACACAGCGAAGCATCGTCTGTCCCAAAGCGTTCCGTTTCAAAAGTCAAGGGCTGGATCAGATATCTATTAAGAGGGTCTTCGTTTACAGTTCAGTTCACTTCAGACGTCGTTTATTCCGCAGATCAAGTCGGCGTGCTCAATGTGCTCAAATGGCAGTGCTCCGAAGGCGAGCGTCACGGAGTTTTTGTACAGCCCGCTGGACACCAGGCGAACAATTGTATCCTCGCATGCGATGTAAGCGGGTCGTTGACCTGAAACGAGTCGAGCAAAACGCTGTTCAATACAGTTATTGGATATTCACTTCATTGCTGATATTACCCGTCGAACGTCACGTACGCCGCGTGTTTTTAGGAAATCTTCTCGTCGTAATTATCGAATCGTATACACGTGGACAATAGAAAAACATTTTGTGGTTCTTATCGATATTATTAATTTCCGTTTGTTCGAAAAATTTATTTGAATAGTTCTGAAGACACTATTACTACTCATAAAATTCGATAACAATTAAAAAAATTATTAACTGAAGATAAAATCGAATTTAAACATCTTACTCACAATATATTTTCTATTTGATTTAGAGGAGTTATCTGATATATCTCCGGAGTTCAAGATCCAATACCAAGTAAATTAAAATGGGACCACCTTAAGAGTATAGTAAAGAAAAAAAAAATCAAAATCGATTTGTAATTGACGGTGAAATCAGTGAACATACATGTAAAATATACAACTGAACATGGAACCATCTCCTTCTTTTAAGTCGGTTAAAATATAAACTATGCAAATGATTCATTTACTTCATAAGTTTATTTATTTAAATTTTGTATCATTGCATTTATTTTTACAAACCCTTCTCTCATATACGTTTTAACAAATAAAGGGGATGGAGATAGTTGCGATGCAAACGATAAGGATATTGGGTTTTGCCTAAAAAGTTTTTGGTATTGTTTTCAGTTTTGTCATAAATGGTAAATAATTGAAGATATAAGATATTATTAATTAATAATATTTGTGATATTAAAATCTATATGTCGCTTTTTTAATGAGTGTCGAAAGCACAACTTTACATCAGTGTCAATTTTAGATAATTTGTCACTTCTTATCTTATCTAATACTATACTATTTACATTAAAAATAAGTGCGACAGTAGATGAACTAAGCACAAACAAATAAATCATAAGTACATAGAACTGTTAGAAGAACCTAAATATTATTCACAAAATAATCAAACTTAACAATCTTTTGTAATGTAAATAACTATAATAATAAAATATGTATAATATATATGTATAACATAATGGTTCAATTATGTTAGCAGGAAGATGTTATATTAATTGATATTGCCAATCAATATTCTAAGCGCGAGGAAAAATGTTTGAAACTTTTATTAGAAAACGTGGGTGAGATTTTAACTAAGTCCTATTTTTCTTGCAGCGTTAAAAATAAAATTAAAAATTGAAAATGTATCGTTTTTGTTAACAAAACTCATCAGTTAGTGTGAGCATATAATGTTGAAAGTAATAGAAATAGAAGGAATAATTAATGGTATAAATAAGGAAGTCATAGAAATAGACACGTATATTATCACAAAAACAAAAAGCACTTAAAGACAAAATAAATGAAGTATGCAAAATACATAGAGAAAAAATAAATTTGGTATTTTCAATAACATAACAACACAAAGAAAAGGTAAATATAAATGACATCTATGGTGTGCTCATCAATCATCCCTTCGTTCGTGAAGTGTATTCATATATGCCTTATCAACTTGATCCCGACAGGTTCTTAGTTTGAGCGTTCAACCATGAAGGTTTACGCTTGTTTCACTGAAGATGACTTTATAAAATCTACGTCATAGACATAAATCTAATCTTTTCGAAAAGCACTCGATATCCATAACATATTTTTGCGGTATACTCGTAAATATAAAAAAAAACTTTGATATGGGGAACCTTATCAGAAGATTACATTTACTTTGGTAATTTTCCAAAACTAATGAGAGAAATATTAAGTAAGACATGTGATCACAAACATGAGAGTGATTGATAGACATTAATGAATTTGATTTTAAAGTAATCTTCATACATAAATATAATAATTTTATCATATAGTTTTACAGAACATGATAAAAATCGTTAGGTATATGATAACGATCTATTCTGCACGTAAAGTGTTTGCTTGGCTCATGTTACCTGCATTAGAGTCGAGTCCGCAAACGCTGTCGAGCACCTCCATTTTCGTGTGATCTAGGCCACTGGCACCGCCAATGTCCACGTAATCAGGCAGCCCCCGCTTTGTGCACTGCACAAACAAAACTGGGCGTTGTTACTGGGCTCAACAATGACATGACGGTGGTGTTGGTCGTCAACTATAGTGCGTGTTAATTTAAGCGGAGCTTTTGACGCGTTTAAATTGAAATACTTAAACGAATTTCTCAAATGTATATTAAATTTATGTATATATATATATATATATATATATATATATATATATATATATATATATATATCTTTTATCATTTAAAGGAGCAATTCTTGTATATATATTTATATATATAATCGGAATCTCGGAATCGGATCCAGCGATTTTCATGAAATTTAGTATGTGCGTAGATTCGGGGGCGAAAAAACGATCTAGCTAGGTTTTATTTTTAGAAAATGTCCTTTTATCCCTGTTTTCAGGGAATGAAAAATATCATTCGAATATGACAGTAAATTTCGCCGCAAAAGCAAATGTTATAATAGCTCGGTCGGTAATCGGGCGGCCCCAAAACAGACGGCCGGGGTTCGTATCACGATTGTAACGACCTATTAATAATAATAAATATTATTATTAATTAGTCATAATAAAGATCAATTAAGATGAAAGTAAAACGTTTAAGAACGTTTAGTCACAATAAAAGTTAATAATATATACTTAAATTTAAGAAATATAAGAGTTAGTATGAGAAAATGATATTACCAAAAATTGATAAAAAATAGTTAAAAATCACTTAAAATACTCAAAAAAGGATATTTATTAAAAATATAGCAAGATACGATCACTATTATGTCCATTAAATACAATTCCATACTTAGTGATTTCTAAGGGAAGTAATATGTACCGTGCGGGGACACATTTGTATGACCGCACATATATAGAAGTACAGAGGTCGATCGCGACTCTTAGTACTATAGTCAAAGTACATTGTATGAACGTCCCATACCAATATCATATGGAAGTAAGGTCTAATGGATAAAAGTAATAATATGTGAAGGCTCAGAGAAAAAAATAATAAATATATAAATATAATGAAGAGCAATGAATGACTTGGGACTTTATAAGACATATTACTATGGAGTTGCGTGGTACTTCTGTACGACGACATGGTCTACGGTAAACGTGGAACCATGAATGGATATGTCTTCAGTGGTGGACATATCATCGATAGCTGGTGGTAGTTGGCGTCTTAGTGACCATCACTATGATACGTTAGCTGTCATTCGGCATAGTAAGAGTTTGGTGGTAGTTGGCGTCTTAGTGTGTTGCACTATGATACGTCGACTGATCATCTGACTTTGGGGAGTCTGGTGGTGGCTTGCGTCTTAGTGTATTCCACTATAATACGTTGGCTATTACTTGGCTTGGGTGGGGGTCCGCGTTGGTGGTTGGCGTCTTAGCGTTTACGCTATGATACGTCGACTATCATTCGGATCGTGAAAGAGTATGTTGTGACACTTCGTGTGTTCCGAGTATATTCTAAACTTTGGAGCCGAAGTTGATCGGAGTTATATTGGTGTGGTGTGAGGGTGTGCCACCTACGCGATAGTCACATTGATGCGTGCGGCTATATGCAGTAATGCGTCTTGTGGTATTTGCGGGGTGATCTGCGCCTAATATCATTGCATCGTATGATTCTGGTTGACGGAGGTTCGAGGTGATGATGTCTGCTGTGTATGCGGATAGGCTGTATGTTGGCGTGTTGACCTGCGATAGTTGTATTGATGCATGTTGCATTTGGTGACATTGCGTCTTGCGACATTTGCTTGGGAGACGACGCTATTCATAATGGCCGAGTCTGCGTCTCGGTTTGATGCACATCTCAGTAGATTTGTCCAAGTCGGGTTCCTGATGACGGAACTGCAGACTGTCTGACCTCTTTATACGTTTTATCATTATTAACGAATCTCAGTAAAGTTCCCACCGTTCGAACGAATAATGGCAACTTGCTGGTGGGTGAGACAAACTTGACCGAAAATACATTATACTCAACGTCAGAGACACTAACAAATAAATATATGTTGCCAATTATAAACCCTTCTGATGGCTAAACATAAAAATCACAATTATGGCTATATCTGACTATTTCAATGGTTGGTGGAGCATATGCGTTTACCTCATGTGGATGGTAGCTGGCGGGAGAAAACCTCTCAAGGCTGCGGCGATGCCGTGCAACGTTTTAACCATACCCTTGGGGCTACGCGCTCTGCGACGAAATGTCGTGCTAACCTTTTTAATGGTGGTGATGCCAAAACACTAACAATCACGTCTGCAGTCGCGGCGATCTGGCAAAAGTGGTGGCGCTTACGGAGGGCTTATTATATCATAGGGCCAGAGTGCCTGATCTTTAACACATGCCCAAAACCGTATTGACGTACATTCACGAAGACTGGATTTGTCGTCGGCTTGTATGACGTTTACACGCATTGACATGCGCGACTTCGGTCAAAGTTTGTGCTTACGCACTGCCAAGGGGCCAAGCCCTCTTTATGCTGGTAAAACAGCTTTGCAATGGACTTCGGTCCTTTCCCCAACTTTTTGTCCCTCTTCTGGGGGGGGGCGCAATATGTTGGTTGGCGCTCACCGCACACGGCGTTGGTGAGTGTTTTCATGGAGCCGTGTGCCTTCCCTACATTTTTTTAAAATGTGGGGGAGCCGTAGACTTGTATCGGGTGTGTGAAATTGATGTGAGCCCTTTTCAAGAGAGAAGGGATATTATTTTAAAATTATATTGTGAGCCCTTTACAAGCGTGAGAGGGAGTATACTATATACTCTGAGCCCGTCTCAAGCGAGTCGGGGTTATTTAATAAGAAAGCAATCTAGCATTATCTCTGGCTTATACCACAACTAGTGAATATTTATCTATCCAAGATCCACCTAAAAGAATCAAGTTACTAAATAAACACAACGTAAATAAGGTCCTACCGAACATGACGATCACAATAATATTTTATACGGCTAATTATTACCTTTAGAAAGATCCTATAGAAAGATCAATAATTTATCCTGGTCACGTAATGATGTTATATGATTTATTCATATAATGGGGGAAAAAATATATAAGTTTAATTATATATATACACAATAAAGGGGGGGTGCGAGTTACACGATCATTTACACAGTCTTTTTTTTAACTTTTTTTTCGATTCCAGATCATTGCTTTCTTTATTTTTAATTTTTTTGTCGATTTGTTATTTTGTTACTTTTTTCCCTTTTTTTTTAAAGTTATTTCTTTTGTAAAAAACGCCACTTTATAGTTTCTTATTATTAGGTCGGTAAGATCGAAAAATATTACGAATATTTCATTACTCAGTAATTTGTATCTAAATGTAATTTCCAAAACACACGATTTACCAAAAAAAAACAAACCGAGCAAGGCTCGGTCCTCCGGGTACTATATATACAGCGTGTCGTTACCACCGCGACAATAAATGAACACACATATAGAGGATAACTTTTTAAAATTGTATTAAACACTTACATTCTTCAAACATCAATATTTACCTAGTTATTAAATTTTCCAAAACAAACAATTTTAGAACACCCTTACGTATAAAACTGTAACGTAAAGTTCATTTGTAAAGGTCACAAAACATATGAATGGGTTGAATGAGTTTAAAAGAGACAAAACATACTGTTAGAAGGAGAGGCTTGTAATGCGACGCTGTGGCGCGAGTTGTATAGGATGTTACAAATTTTGTTTCTTTTTTAATTAATTAGTTTGTTTGAAAAATATTTTTTTTTAATTATGGATTTTGTTTAACGTTAATATTTTTTAAAGATCATTGGCAAGTAGCTTTAGACGTGTGTTCATTTATTGTCGCGATGGTAACGACACGCTGTATATACAAAATTGGAAACTGAAATTGGAAATTTCACAGATTATTTATTTTTGTTACTGCTATAACAAGAAATAGTAAAAAACAGAATAAAGAATATTTATATATTTATTTTTTTATAATGATATGGAACCCTGCGTGCGTGAGTCCAGCTCGCACTTGGCCAGTTTTATTTATTATATTATAAACTAGTTCTAGTAAATTTCTATAGTTTTTTTTCTACAACAATTGTTTTTGGTGGTTTAAAATGACTTTGTACATAGGATTGGAACGGTACGAACACTAGACATACGTTCAAGGTACAATTGCCCAAAATCAGTGCATGACAACTATTGCAATGGCGATGAAAACGCTAGAAAAAGTAAAACCAGATAGGCTGCTGATGTATTTATATTTTCGATAGCGTGAAATTTAATATGAAATAAATTTTATATGCGAGGAATTAAAGTTGTTATAAATTAGAGTTTAGTTAATGATGAACGAGATTCGTTGACGAAAGCAGGTTGATAATGGGTATTTTAAGAAAAGGTGGAAACCAAATTACACAATAAGTAAATTAATTTGTCAAAAGTGTAGTTCTAGTAACACATACTCCACGATAAATACTGCTGTAGTTCTAATGTTAGTATGTTAATTTCCGCTCTGAATAATCCTGTTGGGCAAAAATAAATAAGTTCTTATTAGTTTGTATGAAATATTAGAAATGTTAGCATAGATCTTTGGCCTTGGTGTCAAGCTTATTGTTTTCGTATCCTAATCAGTTTTATATATTATTTCAGTAAGTAATTAACGTTGAACTAAAGAAACTCTTACGATGTTTGTAGAAATGGGAATCGAACCCACGTCGGCATTATTGCAATGATGTCAATGGAAACTTAGTTTTCTTCCTTCTTGTGGTACTAAATGTACGAAAATAAACTTACAAATAATAAGAGTCTTTGGTAAATGTAATTGTTAATAGCAAAAATCTTGCTATTAATAATTGTGAGTGAGATTATTTTATTTTAAGTTATTAAAATATAGATAAGTGTGATGAATATAATCATTATACTATACAATACATAGAATCATGATTCTACAGACTTTATATTATGTTACACCGATATTACAATCATGATACTACTACTACTCGTAATTGTGAAAATGTCTCGGAAGACTAGAAAATTTTATTTTAGTCAGGTTAATAAAATAGAGATTCAGATTTGGTAACATTATCCTTCATTACTAAGAAAATATATTGGGAACAAAATTAAACGAGTTTGTATGCAACTGTGGAACAGGGTTAGCGGAGCCGTTGTTCGGTCACCCACCCATATTAGCGGCCATTATCTCCTAGAGTCGCAGTTATCTAGATCGAGAAATTTAGAACAAAGCCGAGTAACGAGGGGTGCCGACCAGCAAGATTTTCCGGTGATAACTGATTTTTATTTAGAGTCGAGTATCAAAGGTATTCGACCCTTTAAAAACTGTTAATCTCATCCAGTGATAATGCTTTGTTACAGGATAATTATTTTTCATTGATAAGTAATAAAGTATTAACGTCTGGGCTATATGACTTAAAAATATGCAGGAATTAAATCTGTGACTTATGACGACATCCATACTCGTAATGTAATGTAACTGAAATACCTGCACTTTTATGATAAATTCATCTTATTTTTGTAATTTCATTGGTAATAGAAACTGAAAAGACTTATATCACTACATTGTATAAAACAAGTCGTCCCGCTGTCTATCTGTCCCTATGTGTGCTTAGATCTTTCTACGCAACGGATATTGATGTGTTTTTTTCACGAGGTAGAGTGATTCAAGAGGAAGGTTTATATGTATAATACATTGCACCCGTGCGAAGCCAGGGCGGGTCGCTAGTCTCAATCTCAAATAAAATGTAATATTTGACATCAATACAAAAAAACGTCATGATTCGACTTTTAAATGCCGAAATAACAGATCGTCGCTTGCCTTATCTTATATATAAAAATGGATTGCTATTCGTTAGTCTCGCTAAAACTCGAGAAAGACTGGACCGATTTGGCTAATTTTGGTTTTGAAATATTTGTGGCAGTCCAGGGAAGGTTTAAACGATGAGAAATTATGGAAAAATTGCTTGGAAAATCGAAATAGCAACAATTTTATTTTCCCATACAAACTGTACCTGTCAACCTGTCAACTATGTCTGTCAAACACTTCCAAATTCCCTAGAAATAATTTATATGGCAAAACAACGTTTGCCAAGTCAGCTAGTTTTAAATAATTACAATGAGCACTTAGTAGCGTTGTTGCCAAATGATTATTTAATAAAAATAGTAGAAGTGGTTTTAGATTATAATATTATTGGGTATATCAGACGAATTTCATTTAGTGCAAAAAAAAATTGTAAACATTTCAAACCTGAGAAGGACTTGTATTTTCTATTTTGCGAATTAGGTCACAGCTTAACTAGCGATAGCGCGTGTTGAATTTTTAAGTAACCACATTATAAAGCTTACCAAGAACATTAGTGATTTATGCCCTAGAAAGTTTTAAAAAATCGCTCGCTCACAAGACGATGAGCAAGAGTGATAACACAAAGGAATGTTATGTACTTAACAAATAAGACGTTTCACCATGTTATGTTAATTGAAATGTATCTGTATATACATAGAAGGTCAAATTTCTCTCTATTAAATTACTGCCCTAGTCTAGTAAAGACTATTAACTCTTGATTGAATGAAGAAGCATTGTAATGGAAGACAATTGGCACGTTTGCCGCGTTATACATAAAACCTACGTATTTTGGCTTCGTTCATGGAATAACACTGATAACTGTATCATGTTGCCACGAAATAATGACAATAAACATGACGAATAACCTATCAAATGCAACTCAATTTCTTAAGAACAGGTATAAGTTTTTGCAGTTTTACAAAGAATTGCTGTATATCAAGGGAGGTTGTACGAATTCCGAAGTAAATATAATAAGTCTTTTTGGCGTTTAATGTTAAAAAGTTATTACGTAGCCAAACAGTCACCTTATCAAATGCCTTTTGCGCTGCATTGTAGGTTTCACCTATGGATTTACAAGTAAATAATAATAAGACTGTGTCATCAGCGTAGGACACAATCCTACCATGAGGTAATTCAACCTACAGAGTTCGCCAATATAAATTAAAAAAAGTGTTGGACCTAAAAGACTACCTTGAGGAACCCCATGCAAAATAGGTAAATCACCACTCATGCATCCTGCAACGCTAACACATTGACATCTTTCCGATAGATAGTCCTATAACAGTTTGTGCTGTGTACCACGGATACCTATTTTATATAGCTTATCCAGGAGTACAGGAATACTTACAGTATAGAAAGCTTTAGCTAAATCGAGATAGATACCAATACTGTTGTTCTTGTCATCTAGATTTTCAACAACGTAATCTATAACAGCATGCGTAGCATCACTTGTCGATTTACCGTGCATGAATCCAAATTGGTTATCTGTAATTATATTTTGATGTTCGAGATGGTTAAGGAGAAGAGAGTTAATAAGTTTTTCCAAAATTTTGGACAGAGAGGGTAGAATTGAAATTGGTCTATAATTTGAAATGTTGCCACGACCTCCTCCCTTGTAGATGGGACTAATTATTGATTTTTTAAAGACTTTCGGGAAGACCCCGTGCCGAAAGCAATTGTTAAAAATGTGTGTTATGGGAAGCACAAAAAAGTGTTTATGGGTTTTTAGTAACTGACTTGAAATTTTATCCCAAACCACTGAAGATTCATTTTTTAAACCTGTCATTTCATTTCATTCACCTTCATTTTTTAAACCTGTGAGAAGGTTGAAGTCTTTCGACTTCAACCTTCTCAGTCTCCAGCAATACAAATGAATCATTTATACATATTTCTGGATAATTAAAATCTACTGTAGTTTTATTAATTTGAGTCCTATCCCTTAACTAAAAAGTAGGCATTTATTTCATTTACAGATCGTTCCGGAGAAATTGAGATTGAGAGAAGCTCATTAGGCGATGTTTTTGTATTACTCGTAACAGCGATATCGCGAATTGTTGCCCATAATTTTTTGTTATTTTTTTCTGCCTTTTGAACAAGTTCCTTATCACAAGCATTTTTTATATTCCTCAAAAATTTATTACAATGATTTCTATATCGAATATATGGTACTTTAAGTATTTCATTATCTGGTTGTTTTTTTGTTTTAAAGTGTAGCTTATCACGAAAGCGAATGCAATCTAAGAGACCTAATGATAATTACATGAATATTATTATCTAATAAATCTAATCGTCGCGGCATGGTGCCAAGAACGCTTGCTGCATTTCCTCGCTGAATAGTTATGCTTAACCTTTGAGCGAGAAAAGAACCAGCTCTCTTGTCACGAGCCGCGGAGGCCTAGCCTAGTTAACCGTTAATTACTATGGTATCAATAGAATCTTAAATTCGTATGAGATTAAAATCCCGCATAAAGAAAGTAATCTTTTTTAACGCTTAAAGTATTGGTCTTGATGTTTTTATATGCGATGGTTAAAATAAAATTACGAGAATTCTTACGAGAATAATGCTTTGAAAATAGCTGACAGAGTTCCACAATTTTTTTTAGTGTGTTATTGATAAAAGTTCAAACGAATATGAGTCAATAAGCACGTAAATGCATATATCCGGGAACACACGTAATAGGTTCGATGAAATTCTGATGGAGTTCTCGCAAACTATAAGTTTAATTTACGGTGTACGATGTTGGATTGAATCAGGTGATGCTGACATCAAGAGCCAATTTCAACAACGCTTTGTTAGTAATTAATTAGAAATATCCGTGACAACATAAAGTGAATTAATTAAAGCACATATGACAGAAATAATGCTTAAAACATAAGTATTTGTGGATTTTGTCATTTAAATTCAACTTTCATTTTTATCAACAACGGTGTAATGTTTCATAATCCTTAATAAAAACAATAATTCGGGGGATATTTCTCATATGATTTATTGTTAAAAAATGATTGATACAGGTAATTAAAATTAGTTTAAAGCGAAGCAAAATTCACAATAAATTGGGTTTAGATGACGTCAATAAGTAAGGAACGGAAAATGTTTCATCTAAAGTGTTAAAAGGATAAAACTAATTAAACTTCCGTCCAGTCTATTAAATATAAATTTATTTCGTTATTTTACGCAAGCTCTACAGAATTAACAAGGTAAATAACGCGGAAGTTTACTGGTGCGTCGAAAAGTTATTAAAATTTTACAACCATGTTACAATTTCATCGGAAATTACGGTTATTTCATAAAAGCACTCCCGTTAATACAATTGTTTATATCATAAGCATGTTGGGTTTTCCATCTTTATAAAATTATCTCTTGTGTATGGACTTAAAATATTTTCATTATTATCTTACAAAAAAGATAGATCTTATAAGAAAAAGAAAGGTAACAGTACAAGTATGTTACAGGATATCCTGTGTTCCAGGCACAGTTTTCGTCCTCAAAAGTAAACAAATACTTGAACGAAGATCAGAAACAATGATATGTCACTTATTCCGGTTTTCAAATCGAATCTAGGATCCATCCCGTCAAGTCTTATACTAACATAAGTTACGAAAAGTTTCACGTCACAGAAAGAAACAAACAAATTCTTAAATGTCTTATCTCATGTTAAGGCATTTAAAAATAATGTAGGGCAAACATATTGATTCAGTGCTATAAGCTTTTACTTAAGCAGTGACTTAGTTATATGGTTTCAGTTTAATACAAGAATAGATTTTTATTAAGTCAACAAATGAGGAAATAATTATGGTATGTTTATTTATTATTTGAATAGTCATAGACTTTCCAACCCTTAAGATTTAGCGTTTGCTAATTAAATTAACATTCTAACTACCGTAAATGGATTTAACGCCAATTAAATAAATGAAATGTGAATGAAGGCATTGAATAAACGACTCACATGATGAATGGTTCCAGTCTCGAGGCTTAAGGGACCCCTCTTCATCGATTGTCCCACATCAAGGTCTAATATCCGTACGGTGGCTGGCGATATTGCAAGAATCGAGCAATTTCCAGTCTCCCCGTGGTTGCGTAGAGTGTACACACCTTCGGCGCCAAACACCATTACATTGCACGCTGCAAATTTGGTTCTGAATCAATCCAACGCCCACTCCAATGACTTATTAACATTCGTTTAATTTATTAGATGGCTAGAGGGCTGACGGTTCACCTGTAAAGTGAATAGTGCTCGTGTGGAAATTTTAAACAACACCTTTACCGTTGCAGATGCCTTACCAACCTATAAAAAATTCTACACCTCACTAACTTGCCAAATGCAAAAGTACTTGAACTTGCCGGTTTCCTGTGAGGCCTAAACTTCTACTCCAAGCTGGTTGTCCATGAGACAGTGGTGGTATTCCTCCTTTCCCGGATGAGTGTTCGTATTCTTGCACCAGTAGAAAGCTCTAAGTGGCCTTATGACAACTAATTACGTCATATTTAACTGTGGTAGGGCCACGCAGCAGCCACGGCTGTTGCACGGATGGGCTGGCTCGTCCGGGTAAGTACCACGACCTCAAAGAAGACCCACGTAAAGTGGAAGTATAATACATTCGCGTTTCTTCTGGTGAGTGAGCAGGCCGGAGCTCAATCTTCAAAAGGTTCAACGCATCTGGAACCCTCGGGTGTAGCAGATGTCTGCTCGCTTGGCAACTTTTCACATACGCTTTTTGTTTTACCCACGTTACTTTATTTTCTATTAAAATTGTGTGAATTATTATTTTAAGCCATTCACACTGTTCAAACATCAAGATGAATTTAGTTTCGTGTATAATATACGTGAATTTGATCCAAAAACCATAATAGAAATAAAGAACTACTAAGGTCCCTTATATCCATTATACTGTATAAACATGTCTATACTCCAAAGGAACATTGACAGATTGCTGAAGTACTTTTGCGTATTCATTTTTTTTACATCTTGACACGAAATAGGAAAGTACTTTTGTAAGAGCACAACAAAACTCCTTTCATGTGAAGCTCTAATATTTTCGTGCGTTTATTAGAAACACCTTCATATTTTTTATTGCCTGTCGTTTTATGATTGTATATCGTATATTATATATATATATATATGTACGTATATATGTATGTATGTATATGAGCGTAGATTTGGGGCGAAAAATTGATCTAGCTAGGTTTCATTTTAAAAAATGTTATAATAGCTCGGTCGGTAATCGGGCGACCCTAAAACAGGCGGCCGCGATTTGAATCACGATCATTTACACACTTATTTATTTTACTTTTTTTTCTATACCAGATCATTTTCTTTATTTCCAAAATACATGATTTACCAAAAAAAACGGTCCTCCAGGTACTAAAATGTTATTTGCCGTGTTAACTGTTACATGTCTACTTAGTTTAATAACTCGTTGGCCCTAAGCCATTGGCTTCCGGGGGTAATTGGTTTGATTCCCGCACGGGTATACGGTTCCACAAGTATTTGTGTGACCCACCAATAATTATGTTGGATCTGAGTGTTTGTTCTCAAGGATTGACATCAGGCAGGCGGCTGGTCGTAAATACCTAGTCAATACCGCAAACAGGGGGGTTAGCGTCAGGAGAAGATAATACGCCTACATAGTTACTGTTATAGTCTCCCATTCGAGGCATCTTTATTTCGATTTAAACGACCAATAGAGAAACGAAATATATTACGAAATAAAATTACGTTTGGCATTTTTCACATGTCGCACATTCACCGCAAAACCTTTTCCTTTAGCGGGCACTCTGTACTGTATGAGGGCGGCATTCTGTCTGGACGTTAGTTTCTGCTGTGGTCTCCTCTCGCAGGATTCCACAAGCCTCTCGTCATCCCAGGCGTCCGCCGGCCACACTTGGCCGTTCAACTCCCACCCATCCACCCACTGAAAGTAATAAACATGGACAAAATAGATCGCGATACTGACCCGAACGGACCTGCACTTTCTTGCAATAGCCGAAGCTGTTGCGTTACCCTACCACAGTGACTGTCGACTTCGATTGCACACGCAAAAATCAGTAAAATATGCAAGATGTTGTAGATGTTCTTCCGACTCTACTGCCCATTAGTTACCTCAATCTACAGACGAAACACAAAAGTACAACTTTCACTTCAATTTGGTCTTCTGTGGGGTCCTTGTACTTCACGGGACAATCCTGCACAGTCATGTAAATGTTTTGCTTTTAATTTTGCAATAGCAGTAAAAATTTATACAACAGAAACTATATTATTTTTCTTCGAATATATATATATTGTATGAACTTTAATTTGATTTGACGCGTTGAACTCATAGTTTTAAATATCAAAATATGACTTAAAAAATAACAAAAATTTTATGTACACGCAATAAAAATTGTGCGTCTACGATTTGTTTGTATCTTTCGGTATTCGTTTATGGTTTGGTCTTACATAGCAATAAAACTCGCCCACACGGACTCGCGTTAATTATATTGTATTGAACCACATATGAGTGTCAACTATTTGTCGAGTGTGACGTGAGCATAGGTCAGCAAATAGAACATATCCAAAGCGACCGTACTTACAACCTATTCAAATACACTTACAGACGAAGTTGTTTTCTTTAATTCTCAAAAATTTTAAATTAAAAGTTTTTTTTATATAAATATTTTTGAGATCAAACTAGAAAATACGGAGATAATTTGTCATTTCATTTACAGACTTCAAAATCAACAGTTGTTTGTTAGATTACAAAGGGAATCTATTAAGAAACACTCAAAGGACTTCCAATATACATACATATTCATATAAAGCATATTTGTTTAACAAATCTCCATGCTTACGATGACATCGTTTATTGAAAAGAAATATAAATTGGATTAAATATTATTTATAAGACAAGAGAAATTCTTTTTCCCTTTTCTACTTAGTTGATTACGCACCAATTTATTAAGTACGTAATACCTTTGTAAATAACATCATACAAAAGAGTCAAAGAAAAGATTATCCATTCTTATCTTATCAAAGAGGATTAGAAAGCTTCCTTCAGTATCTTAAATGCCTAAAGTTATTAGTGTAAAGCTGGTTTGTTCGAAGCAATTTTATTGCAAGCTGGAAAACTTAGTAATATCCAAATTTTATGAATAAAATAAAAAATTATAATAAATGGGGAAAAATAAATAAAATTTACCGCAACCAAGCCTCCATTTTCACAAGGCACGTCCAGATAATTGAAGGTAACCTGGATTCTCTTATCGGGATCTGCTATCATATAGATTCCACAAACCGATGGCTCGTTCGATGGCGATTTGTAAAACAGTTCTCCCTCTTCGGATGACACTAGAAAGCAATCTATGTGAGGAAGAAATTTAAATATTAATGTGATTTTTTAAATATGTAGCCTAACCCTAAGCGAAGGACAGTTTTACTTTATAATTGTTCACGATTAAATCTAATGTGAATAACATATTTTTTATAAAAATGCAAATGTTAATAAATCTGTATTTAATAATACATTATAAAATGAATATAATTGTTAGATACAATATTTACAACGTTAAACTGATTAAACCTAACTAAATTACAACTATCTAATACTGTCTAGCATGATGACTTATAGTCTAGACTGACGTACTTAGGTCATTCTAAAACTAAAAAGGATGTTGACAAGACGTCAACCCCGTGATCGTATCCATCATTTGTTCCGTTAAACATATAGCCTCGTTCCTCAGGCAAACATCACCACGATCGGCTAAAGGCACGAAGCGGCCCTTGTACATTTTGCGAAGGATAGCCCTCGAACTCCTAGGCTGTCACTGTTTCCGTCAATTCAGCCTCAATCTCGCCGTTGCCTTGCATCATGGCTACTATGTGGCTCACGGAAGGCGGCTTTGATTTGAGCTCTTCTTCAGTTTTGGCTTCTCTTCGACCTTTATGCTCGTCACGGTGCTGCCATCCGGAAATACATGCGTGGGCAATTCCGCATTGAGCTCCTGTGTCTGAGACTTTAATAGGCACCAAGTTTTCAATTACCTTTTTTACAGCTTCTTAAGCAGTGCTGTGACCTGTCAAGCTCCTCAATAGTAGGTTCGTAAGTCCCGGCTACTGACTAATGGCAGATATTAAATGCCGAATAAAAGCGAAAAGAAAAAACAAACATAAAATGTTATACGAAAATAACCGTGGCGAAATTACTTTATATTTGTTTCATGGAGAAATGAGTCAAACGAGCAGGAGACACACCTGATGGTAAGTGATTACCGCCGCCCATGAACATCTGCAATGCCTGTGGGCTTACAAATGAATTGGCAGCCCCTTGGAAAAAAGAGTATGCTCTCTTCTTGAACAATCCCAGGTCGTAACGTTTCGGAAAGGCTGCCGGTGGCAGCTGGTTCCACAGAGTGGTTGTGCGAGGCAGGAAACGCCTTGAAAATCACACTATTGTGGAACGCTGGACATCGAGGTAGTGCGGATGAAATTTTTTGTTTTGGCGCGATGTCCGATGGTGAAATTCAGCAGCCGGGATCAATCCAAACAATTCGTCGGAACACTCCCCGTGATAAATGCGGTGGAACATGCAGAGTGATCCAAAATTTCTACGCAGAGCCAAAGGATCAAACCGATCGGAAAGACTTTGATCGTCAATAACCGTAGCCGATCTACGTTGAATTGGTTAAAGGGATGAAGCTGGTAATAGGTGGCCCCTGCCCAGAGATGAGAAAAGTGCTCCATGTGGGGTCGGCCCCAGCGCAAATTCGGATTTGCGCCTTATAGAGGTTAAGGTTGGCGTTAGAGCCGACGTGAAGTACAGTCTTGCCTTGCACTGAGCACACCAAGCTTCTTTGCGGTCAACTTGGCCTTCTAATTTACCGCAGAACTGGAAGTTGCTCGAGATTTCGACGCCAAGTTCCCATTTCGAGGATACTGGCTGTGGCAGGCAGTATTCTCGCGAAATGGGAAGTTACGATAAATGGGAACTTTTTAGCGGTTAATACGCAAACTTTTTGGGGTTGAATTGGACTAGTAATTAAAAAAATAAAAATAGGTCTCAACTTAAAACACACGTTTGTTCCGGTTCTCGTAGACGTTTTCCCGAATTTTTTTCAAATTTTAGCACGGCTAGTAGTTACGAGACATATCATATGCTTTATATCACATCAAACGACAACTTACAGTGGAGTTAGGAGTAGTTTTGTATCAAAGTGGCACGTACCTTCAGCAGGGTCTATAATTCGATGAGTGGGCTCAGTCAAACGGCGCACTCTAGGGAACCAAGACAACGAGTGCGCGGAGTTTCGCTGCCGCGGATAGTCCGCGCCCTGTAACGATAGCGAGAATCATCAAATTGCTTCACGTGTGCAAAGTTTATTTTCAAAACGCGATAACTGTATAGTCTTTTATATTAGTGAAAATTATTCTCATTATCTTATCAAACAGCCTCGTAACAGGTGCGTAAACTTACTGGGTTACTATTTGTCATCAGATTTTTCTCTATCTTATACAAATATTTCTTTATAGATTATTTACTGACTTCAGAAATTACAGAAGAAAGTTCAGAAATTAAAAGCTAATATGAAATTGGGTTATTATAATAGTCTCATAATTTTATTTAGTTTTTTCTGCTTAAGTTAGATGGAAAAAAAAATAGCCATTTAATATCTAAATATATATATAATAAAGTAGAGAGAAAGGTCTAATCTACTCAGCTGTCTATAATATCCTAACATCAAACGTGAATTCGAACGAAATTTGTCAAGTGTTTCGTATTTTGTGTAAGCAATATAACCAGTAGTAAACCACAAGTATAGATTTTATATAGACCAAGATTTTTAACGTATTACCAGCAAGTGTATATAAATATAGTCACTATCCATTCATGACAAAAGAACATTTAGAGGGTAAGTAATCAAATATTCTTATGTTATTTAACATTCTCTACTCAGAAATAAAAAAAGACTTCCCTCATTCAGTTTTGATCGTACCGCTTTATTCATTCCTGTCATATTATATCAAATTGATTAATCTCATTAAGTTGTATGTTTTACTTTTGCGCATGTCATGTTTAAAAATTATGATATGGTTACTAATGCAGTATAAATAGGTTACACGTGATTCCTCTCGGCTACGTACTTTTTAATCCGATTAAAGGCTTTAGTGCAGTTTCAGGAAGCATACTGGTATTTTAGTACTTTCAATAGTTGAGTTGTTAATACCTAGTAAATTTACAAGTAAAATTAATTATGGCATGTCAATAATATTATGTTATTCTTTGGCGCAAAACTTATTTCGAGATCGTGTAATTATGATTTCTTATTTGTTCCCAGAATTTCCTTCTCTCGGACTATTATTAGGACAGATTGATTCACTTATCACGAATGTTGATCGTAATTTTTCCTAAGCTTTTCCTACAAAATAATGATAAAGAACTAATAAAGTTTTATGGAATTTCTATTTTAATGCTCCTACTCAAAGCTTTTTTAAGAACATAAAGACATCCACAGAAAAGCATCAAGATTGTCATTACATAGCATTAAAACAAAATTAATATTTGTACGAAATAAGATTTCATATTAAAATAAAATAGTTGAACGCGGTATAAAGCTTTTGGATTCAAAGAAATAACGTACCACGGTTTGATTAACTTTTAAACAGAAAAAAATTACCATCTTTATTGGATCCTTAAAGGTTGATGTAGGTTAGTCTTGTGCTCTGAACCCTTTTCAGCAGTTCGTTAGAACTAAAGTGACAGGGGGTACACCCGTAGCTTTTTAGAGGAAAAGCAATACGACACAGAGAATGCATTAATACAGGGAAGAGAACTGAGAGCCAGCTAAAGCGGATTATAAACATGTAAGCAACAGAACTTACTTGATATCGTAAAAAGTAATAAGCGTGAATATTAATGCTGGGTTTGACTAAACAATTTTGTTTAGTTTAAAATTGACAATCGTGTCTACTATTAGTTCACTTTTGTGTGTCTCGTTTCTCATGTATTTTAATTAAGATACGAAAGGTTACTTGAAGTTGCTTTATATATAGATGTCCTGCAATTAAAACCCCATGGTGAATTTAATGTAAAATGTAGACATCTCGTATAGAAGACAAAACAACCAACTCACGTAGGTTAATAAATGTCAGTGATACTTCCAAGTAAACGAGTAGTCCTATGTATTTTAGACGGTAGTCCTATGACTACTTTGGACTTATGTATACTCTTATGTTAGTAGGTAGGCCAAGGATCATTGCTCGACCGCCCACATGGCACATGACATAAATAATCTTTACAAGTAAATGTGACATGTCATACTCCGATAAGAAGCGTAATAAACGATTTATGTCTTGTAGAAAGTGAAATATTATTGACAAATATTCTATTCATTTGGCGGGCTTTATTTTCATCGGTACACTTAGCTTTTTCAAGCTATCTGAAGCTATTCTTTATTTATAAATTTATTCAAAATATCTTAAGTTAATGTGAGAACATAAATTTTAACAGACAACTACTTTAGCAACATCTTACTTCATTAAGAGAATAAAAAAAAAATGGAATGACTAACTTATGAATTGCGGCGTTGCCATTCTTAATTCGCACATTAAATAAAAGTTTGTGGCCCGGCACATCTTATGTCTTCTCTCTATTGTGGAAAGTTTTTTTACATTTCTGTCACGTATTATATGAGGTTGATTGCGGTCGTTACATTTGAAATCACTCTGCCGTCGGAACGAAAGCTGCAGAAATGACTTAAATTATGTTTATTTTTTATTTCATGGGATGATCCACCTGGCAAGTAGGGACCATTGGCTATGGACTTAGGAAACATCGGATAAGCTGCAGATGTGTGCCGAAAACTTTCCTCCTCAACCATTTGAAAAATAAAAATATAAAAACTACAAGTCGTGGAGGCCGTGGTACTTCCCAGAACACGCTAGTTTATTCATGCATCGCTGTTGAAAGTTTAAGTAAAGTATATCGTTTAAGTAAAATTATCCTCCACTGTAAGTAAATAGAATTTACTACCCACGTCAGTCTGATGAATATAATCTATTACACGCGTGCTAAGTTAGTCAATAGTGATCATATTTTTACTTTTAAAACCTTTAGTATTTTCGACGGAATGTGTAAACCTCTAACATACGAGTACTAATGTTGACAAGCGAGAATTCTTATACATAGAATATTAATCAAGTTTTATAGTAAAGGTTTCAAAGTGGTGAAAGCTAAGGGAAAACAATTTTCGGTTATCTGAAGCCGTCTGTACCTTCATCATTACTTAAGCTCGTTTAAAAGGTCGTTCTAAATCATAATATATTTATATCGGCGTATTAATAATATTAAATGTCGGCATTTTTATACCTACAAATAAAATGAAACACATCATCCTGTGTCCTAAATAAATACCTGATATTTAATTTGTAAACACAAAGTCCTTCTGTCATTGTTATCAGTGTCAGGGGAAAACAATTTTAAAACGCGTTTAATTTCTAAATGACATACGGACTCGAATGAAATTAAGCGCGGTACCTTAAATGGAACTTTGTTGATGATAAAATTAAAACAATTTAGTCTTAATTTACCGCTTCCGAAGTATATTGTATAGATAAGAGCTTAAAAAAATTATATATACAGCGTGTCGTTACCATCGCGACAATAAATGAACACACGTCTAACGCTACTTGCCAATAATCATAAAAAAATATTAACGTTAAACAAAATCCATAATTAAAAAAAATATTTTTCAAACAAACTAATTAAGTAAAAAAGAAACAAAATTTGTAACATATCCTATACAACTCGCGCCACAGCGTCGCATTACAAGCCTCTCCTTCTAACAGTATGTTTTGTCTCTTTTAAATTCATTCAACACATTCATATGCTTTGTGACCTTTCCAAATGAACTTTACGTTACGCTTTTATAGGTAAGGGTGTTCCAAAATCTTTGTTTTGGAAAATTTAATAACTATGAAAATATTGATGTTTAAAGAATTTAAATGTTTAATACAACTTTAAAAAGTTATCCCCTATATGTGTGTTCATTTATTGTCGCGATGGTAACGACACGCTGTATAACGAATAAACTGAATGTATAAATTTGAGTATTTGAATAACAAATGTATATACTATCGAAAGCTTCCATTGATTATAGAATATGGTTTTAATATTGCTTACCTTAAACTTAAAATACAGTTATCAATGTGTTGATTTAACATGTTAATATTCTTTTTAAATTTTCGTATCTTTTTTTAATAGTCACCACAGAGTTATTAAAATTAATGTCGTTTCTTTAACATGAAAAGGCAATCAGGCGGTTCATCTGATGTTAATTACTGAAACATGGAAATCTATAATACAGTAGTTAGAGATGCGTTGCCGAAAGTAGTGGACCTGGTTACCTCTCTAGAGAAGAAACGGATAAATCTAATAATTCCACTTTAATCCGGTCTTCCTCTAGACCTTCTTCGTGGAACTTCTGTTTCGTACCTCTAACCTATTCTTCAAATAGAACTCCAATCAAAGTTTAACATTTTAATCATTTATAACACTTTCGAAAAAAATATATTTGTTGATTTTAATACTCACGCATGGATACAAGACGGATGTCAGAAAAGTAAATCAGACTTTTACGAATTATAACTTCGGTATAGTCTCTCTCAATAGAATAACTTTTCTTTAATTTGTTTTTTTTTGTGGTTACAATTTAATAAAACATCTTGTATTGTTAGAACAACGAAGTGCTTATGTTGTATAAATAATGTGCTTATGTTGTACAAATAACATGACATACACAGTTTCTTGCTATATCTTACATACAGGTTCTTCAGTAAAATAGTTAATTTGCGACAGATATACCCGTATACGTATTATGTATACAGCGTTTATCTATTTCAAGCTTGTTTTCATTTCAAAACAGAAAACTTGAAGTTGAAGAGAAGTTTGCTTGAATAAATATTTGAACATTTTAATAGTTCCTCCAGTAGACAAATACATTCCTTTTTCTACTTTTTATTCAACCATCTGTTATTTATTTTTGAGATCTTTGTGCGAGTCTATGATACTCAAACTGTGAAATTTGATAAAACACATGTCTTAAATGTTTTGTAGTACTTCTGTTTGCAATGTCATTAGAAATTTTATTCCAGTCATTACATAATTACTGTTTTCTAAAAGAAGTGAAATGTTTTCAAATGACCATTGAATGGCTATTTATCAATTCACTAGGATTTTAAATAGTCAATCTCATTTTACCAGATAATTTTGAGATATTTACGAGTATATTAAGTGACCCACTCATGAAAATTATAAAGTTATTTCATTATCTTAAGTTAAGATTAAGATACTGACGAATAAAACTTATTTTATCTTAAGTGATTTTATAGTTTATATTATTACATCAAGTCATTATATATTTTACACTCGTGAGCACTTTGGAGTATGACAAATTTTATGAAAATATGTGTACAATAAAATTTATCGGTGACATTGTACCTATATTTAAGGATTTGCTTTGTATGAGACTCAATAAAGTTGTCTAAGTGTACGTGTAAACAGTATAAAGTTTGATTATAATTTCTATAACTTTTTTCAAATATATCTTTTCTAGGTATTATTTTAGTTCCTAGGTTTATAGGTATTTATAAAAAAAAAAACTTAAACTTGTCTCTGTTTACGAAAAGTAAATATTGACTTGTAGTTGTAAGTATTTTATACTTGTTATAATAGATTTATATCATAAATTTAAAAATAATTTAGGATTGATTTTTAACACAAAAGAAATAATGTGGTAAGTGGATTTTTAAAAATGTTGTGACTGAAAATCAGTGATCAGAGCGCATTTTTATCAACCTTGTCTAGATTCAACTCCAATTCGAAGTTATATGTCCTCCACGTGAAACATTATGCTACTACATCCGAGGATTGCAATAATTTATTTGCAATAATAATTTTATTGATACAGTAGGTAGTAGGTATGATTTGAACAATGACCGTAAAGGAGATGTTTTATTTTGTGACATCACTATATACAATATACATAAAAGTAGAAAAGCAGGTTTAAAATAATATTATTAAAGTAATTCGACGAATAGTACAGTTGGACAATAAATTAGTATTCGGGAAATTTTTAATACGTCCGTCCCTTTAATGGCCATGACAGCATTTATTATTTCATTATTGTTGAGAGAACAATATAACCTGACACAAATAAACTTTTGGTACAGAATATGACTTTTGATACACCAATCATTGGTTGTCACTCGTCACAACTGAGATTTCAATTATTTTCTTATGTCTTCTCTTTTCCTGTAAAAAATAAGGAAGCAGCAGATGCTTTGTCTGATGTTAAGTGATTACCGCCGCCCTTGAAATTCTGCAACACCTGAGCGGTTGTAGATGCGACGACAACCTATACAAAATGGGCATAGGTTGCAGCACTCACCAGAGAAAACGCGAAAGTATTATACTTCCACTTCGAGCCGGAGTCTGTGAGGCCGTGGTACTTTCCTGGAGGAGCGTGGCAATTCGTGCAACAACAGAAGCTGTTACGTGGCACTACTAGAGTAGGGCATTATATATCTTATATTTATCTTATTGTTACAATAAAAATAATGATTTTTTTTTGTATAAGTTAAACATTACTTAACGGTTACTATACTGTTCTAACGGTGCTGGCCCAGGCTTCATACACTTCTGTAACATCTCCATTGCCCATAACTGAAATATATGAGCAACACAGCGATGTACACATATAAATGGGAATTATTACATGTCGCTAAGATAAATTCCAATAAAGTATAGTTACTATAATGTGTTGTGTATTTGATGGTCCATACACAAAGCTTGGTCGGATACACACCACACCTCATTCAATAACGTTTTATTGAGATAACCGTTGTTACGTTTATCAACTTTTTCTCTGTTTAATTAACTTTCTTTTATTAAATGACACGAATAAATGTTTATTGGATGTTGATATATGAACACGGAAGTAAATTTTATCAAGCTAAATATTTAACAGCAAAAAAAGAGTTCTCGAACACACAGTGTTCATTCAAGGTTACATATTTAAATACAATTCTGAGAAAAACATTTTGTTATGCGAGGAACGTTGCAAAATACAAAAAAAAATTAATGCGCTGTTGGTTTGTTAATGATTGAAAAAAGAAGGAACGAATTTTATGAGTAAAAACCATTACTTAAAATTAAAAATCAGTGGTAAAAAGCTTGTAATTAGAGAATTTTTTTTTTGATTTGTAATTGGAACCAATCTGATAATCAAACAATAGGTCTATATTTCCACAGAACATGTTGAATAAGGATTTATTTTACATTATAATATGTTTATATATATATACGTTTAGTTTTAATTTTATGTGTTAAATTCTCTTTGACTCTTGGAACTAAAATAGACTCGGTGAAATGTTTCTGTGTGTGTCCGTAATAGTTAAATAACTTGAAGGCTAAAAGTTTGTTTATACAAATCTTTTATGAAACGCTAATTCCACAGCTTGTAGTAAAATTAAATTTAGTACATTTGATTAAAATACCGACTGATAAAAACGAGTCGAACAAATTACACGAGTTTTGTGTATTCCTAATTTAATTGAAATTTAAATGGAAACTAACCATTAACATTTCAAAATTATATGCTAAAGCATTAGTGAATATTAATGTTCATGAAAAATTTTATTTTAAAATAAGGAATCCATTAACGAAGGTTGAATCAGGAGTATTTCTTCCTTGGGAATATTATTCAAGCGTATGTCTCTACAAGCTTTATTGATCTAGTCTCTTTCCTCTGATAACAACTGTCCACTTTAATTTATGTAACTTAGTAATTCATAAATTATTCTTTACAAAATAGTTTCCGTTTCTTTACATAAACTGCTCTTATGGGAGACTTTATGAAATAGTAGCGTCTTTATGTACTCTAGAGCAAATAACTTTATTAATTATTTAGGTTTTTAGATCTGGAATGCAAAAAAATGAGATCTCATTAATAATTTGTTTTACTTTTTAAATAACTTAATTTTTGTTAAATAATAAATTCAATTTGGTTTCCTGAGAATGTTTTATATGTAACTTATTGTATGTAATTTATTTAAAACTTAATGCTCTAAAAATTTTTATTCAAAGGCGGACATTTTCTGCTGTCTAGCAGAGGAGACCTCCGGAGACTTAATATATATTTATGCTTAAAGTCTATAAGAATGAATAAAGCGTTTCCCTAATTGCACTTCTTGGAATTGTACTTATTGAACCTATCATTAATAATGCTAAAAATTAAGTAAAATAATGTAGACTCGAACAAAACAATGAAGAACAGGCTATATTGAACTGTAAAATTTGGTCATTTTGCCTTTAAATTACAGACGGTAGAATTTTAAAAATGTATTTGATCGTTTTAGAAAAAAAAAAACGCTCAAAGTAATTATAGCTTATTTTTGTAAATAAGTAAAGGATTAAATACAGTTTTTATTTTATTTTCAATTGTTTTTTTAGTAATAAATTTACTCACAATGGTGTAATTGAACAATAATCAAGAATGTAGTTTAAATGTTAATACTATTTCGTCTGATTTAAAATCTCTACATAAAATTTATTTATTAAGCACATAATTTATTTTAACTTTTTAGTCAACTTATAAGAAAAACTTTAAGATTTGAACTTAAAAACTTAGACTTAAGCTTAGAGCTTAGACGAAACTCACCGGTAGAAATAGGCCATTTATGAGATCGCTGATTGAAATTATTGCTAACACGTAGAGGAATATTCGCATCTTGATATAGCAAGTTGAAAATCACTGCACTACGTGAGCGAAAGTTCGGCTTTCTGCTGTGATGTGCTGGTCCGGGCTTTGACGTCGGCGTCTGTTATGTTGTGAACGGGGCGGGTTAGCCCTGCTCCCTTTATAGGGCCAGAATGTGTTTCTGCGCACCCTCTGATGCGCTTTCCCGTTTCCTTCCACGCACTTATATCAATTCCTCACTTCACATCGAACCTCTCCAAGCTGCAACTTGTGAATATTTCAATTAGCTAAATATTTTAATCAGATCAAACGCACCGCTTTTCAGTCGTAAACCATCTCATGACTATTTGAGGTAAAACGTTATCGTTCTGTTGTAGTACGCGCGAAAAGATAATGATATAATCATTATCTTTCATGTACTCAACAAATATTATGACCGCGAAAGTGTAATTAGTAGTTTTTAGTGTTTATTTTATATAAAAATTATACTAGGCACCTAGATTTAAAAAAATCTAGTGTGGTGATGATGGTGAATCAATTTTACTTTTCGATTTATATATATATATAATCAAGCGATTTCCATGAAATTTGGTATGTGCGTAGATTCGGAGACAAAAAATTGATCTAGTTAGGTTTCATTTTTAGAAAATACCCTTTTATCTCTGTTTTCAGGGAATGAAGAATATCATTCGAATATGACGGTAAATTACACCAAAAAAATGTTATAAGAGCTCGGTCGGTAATCGAGCGGCCCCGAAAAAGAATTCCGCGGTTCGTGTCACAATCAATTACACACTTATTTTTTTTTACTTTTTTTCTATACCAGATCATTGCATTCTTTATTTTTTATTTTTTTATTTCCAAAAAACACGATTCACCAAAAAAAAATCGAGCAAAGCTCGGTCATCCAGGCACTTCTTATTATATCTTACGTAAGTAAATATACGGTAAAGAATTAACATTACATTGAGAAGTTCTTTCATTATTTAATTGTGTTAAGTTTTATATTATATTGTACTTGACAAAATAAAACGAAGTTACGGAGGATACGAGTATTCCAATGATCTTGGGAATCTTTATACGTGTGTCTATAAAGAGAATGAAAGAAATCTTTGTGAAATTTACAGCTTGATGTCAAACGTTAGTGCTTTCTTAACCATAATAGATAATTTAAATACGTGCGATACAAAAATTCTGTAAAAATGGAAACCCCGAAAATATAAAAAACAGAAATACTTACAATTCATAAACGAATTCATCATGATCATCATCATTCATTAAATTAACGGGAATATCTTTCTGTAAAATTGCACAGGTCGTCACTCCATCTAGTGGGGGTTTGTACAGCCTATACAAGGCTGCCACTCGAGAAACTCTTCCCCACCGGTTATCGGTTCTTCGAGCTATATGGCCGGCCCATTGCTACTTCAGGGTATACTGACCCTAGGAAGAGGGTATTAGTGATCTTGTGATTTCAGCAAAAATTTACTATGTATACCATTACATGCATATTTCATGCAACGGAAATAAAATTAAGATAATGTTTTTACTTGTATGAATTTTACACGTAGCTGGTATCTTTATCTTTACATACTAGAAAACAAAGTCGCTGCCGATGTTTGTTACTTAGATCACTTAGATCTTTTAAGTTATACAACGGATTTTAATGCGGTTTTCAGCAATAGAAATGGTGATTCAAGCAGAAGGTTTAAATTAATACATGTATATTGTAGTAGAGAAAAGCCGAGAAATTCAATATCTACATTGCACCCGATCGAAGTCGGGGTGGGTTGCTAGTTGTCAAATAAAACAATTGTTTCTAATTTCCTTTTAAATTTTATGTTTCGCTCATTTTAAGTTATTAAAACGTCTAGAGTCATCTATATCGTGTTATAGAATGAGTCATGTTACGTAACACTGTATTTAAAATATATAGTTCTTTTAAAATGTGTGGAATTTTCATAAATTTTCGCATGTTCAATCTGATAAGGAATCATCAAATTGAAATTTTAATAATATTTGGACTTTCATTCCGTCATTACCGTTACTTCGTTATGTCAATTGATTTTAGTTCCCCAAAATTTTTCCCCATTTGATTAAAATGCTTAAATAAGTGTTTTAAGGACTTAAGGGCTCACGAAAATCAACATAACTAGACTTAAGCCTTCTGATACAAACCACGGTAAATCCTTTAACGCTCGTGGCGGCTCTTGTTCCTGGAAAGTATTATTTTTAAGCTATTATAATACTTAGACGATAATGAATGGAAATGCTCTAGAATCTGTGTACTCATTAACGGAACAAGACAGATTAAAACTAACTTTTATCAAGACTATTAACTAATCAGTATTTTAATATAATATTAATGGACAGGGCGATGCAAATAAAATTTGGTATTATTTAAGAAAGAAGTGACTTACAAAAAGCTTGTTGTCCTAATACGATGGAGACAGTACTTTCTGCCGGCCCATCGCTTACAGCTCTATCAACCACAGATTCGGACGAAATTGGAATGCCATTCTAATCTCTGAGCTGGGGCACCCCAATACCAGTCCTGGCCTTTTCCAACGAAAATCGACTTGTTGACGACCAGAGCTTGTCGAACATCGTCTCGAATCTTTGGCCATGCGAAGAGACGTTGCAATCCTCTGCTGTTTCTATCGCATATATAACGAGGACTGATCTGAGAAATTGTTTGGATTGACCTGCCGCTGAATTTCACATTTGTATAACTCGTCAAATACAATCGACACTACCTTGATGGTGGGCGGTCCACCACTGTGAATTTTAACACAATTATCTGCCCCACAATTATCTGCAGTACTAGTAGTAGTAAAACTAGTTGTCGTCAGCGGCATAAGGAATATAGGAATCCTTAAAAAAAAGAGATCCTACTCATACCTCGAAACATCAACAACGCAGTTATGACGCCTCCGATGGTCTGTTGGTGGCGTTGATAAATTACCATCAGCTTAACGACATGCTCGTTTCCCACCTTTTTAATTTTTTTTTGTTCCATCTAAAAGAAATGTTTAATTTCATTACAAGTTTTCAGAAACGTACGCGTACACTGTTGCCGTAATACGATCTACAAAAGTAATTGCGTCATGAATGAATAAGATTGTTAATTACCCTCCATTGCCTGTTACGCGATTTCAGCCCCGAATCTAATTTTCGTGATTAGTGACAGTAACTAGCGAGTAGGACGCGGTATATGCCGCTCAAAGTTACAAGTTTATTTACACCCGCATCCAAGTGAATATAAATTGAATAACGTTACCACAGATGAGTTGTTTTAATCCAACTTCCTAATAGCAAAATAGAACAGTATTACTTTTACAAAACTTAATTGAACGTTAATTACTTTTATAATCGAATTTTTAAATCGAATATATTAACACAAATCATCATGGTACTATTTTACGTGTCGGACTTTTTTTATAGAAGATGACTGCTTTCATGCCTATAACATGGTTCACCTGATTTTAAGTGGTTAACACTGCCCATGTAAATCCCTAAGGCATTGCATTATTTAAACCCTATTGCCCGTGAATATGGATCCTTCCATTATGGTTACTTCCATTGACCAGATGAAAAGCGAATGGATAGGTAAAAATAATTCTATTTTAAACCAGTCTTTTGTCAGCAGATGTTGGTATTTATTTTTATTGTTGTAGGGTCACCAACAGTCCCCGCTGTTGCACGGACGGTTAGGTCACCCCGTGAGAGAAACACGACCTCACAGAAGACCAGCGTGAAGTAGAAGTGTTATACATTTGCGTTTCGCCTGGGGAGTGAGGTAGTTGGAGGCAAAACAAATTTTTATCCGCTTGAAACTTTTACAATGGTTAAGTAAATAAAAAGTGTATTTAGTTTTTTGGAGATTTTCGTTTTCGCAATCCTTCGTAACCGTTTGGTTACAAACAAATACTTTTCTACAAGTGTTTTTGTGCTTGTAATTTTTGTTTGTCTCTTTATTTTATTACATTAATCAAGTTTTTTTTTTACATAAAATGGTTTTAACGTTTCTGATATACAAAGATAATACAAATTTCGTAGTTAATGAAAAATTATTTCATGAATTTTCAGGCTCGCGTATTTTAAAAACAATAATTCCTAACAAATCTCAAAGGAATATGGATAGGAATGGCATGTATGTTATTAAAATACAGCAATCTAATATATGAAATTCTCGTGTCACGGTGTTTGTAATTGAACTCTTCCGAAACGGCTCGACCGATTTTCGTGAAATTTTGTGTGCATGTTGGCCAGGGTAGAGAATCGAACAACATGTATTTTTCATCCCCCTAAATATTGAGGGTGGTTTTGTTACCCCAAATTATTTTTTTTTATTTCTTAAATAAAGTTTATGTTTTAATTTTTTATGATACAGCATACAAAAATACATACAACCCTAAATTTTCACCCCTCTACGCAGACATAGTCGCGGGCAGCAGCTAGTATATTTATAAATTAATAACCTAATTACACTAGTTCTGGGACTATAACGACTAAACATAACGAGTTTAAGTTCAGCGCAAAGCTACTAATTACATCTATTTTATAACTTTGGACTAGATCTTTAGAAAAATATTTTTTTTGTAAAATATAAATAATTTTAAGCCATGATTTCGCGCAAAACTGTCAAACCTGAAAAAATGAATTGAATACACGCGTGTGTTGTAAAAATGTTAAGAGTCAAATGATGAGCGAAATTACACTTGGGATATATTATTTTACATCTTACAATCTGAGTTAAATGAATAGTAAGAAATAATTTGTACACTAGATTATATCAATTTTAAAGTTCTTCAACAATTCTCAAGGAAAGTCAAGGGAAGTTTCAAACTAATAAGCAGACTTTAATTTAAAGTTGGACACATAATTCCACTTTGCCAGTACAAATGTATCGGTGTCTAAAAATGGATAAATTATTTGCAGTCTTTAATGTCAATGCAAAAATTTAACAAATATTTAATTATATACTTAATAATTATTTAATCATTGAAATGAATTGACAATTTCATTAGATACCATGGTTGAACTTTATCATCCAGCTTGGGATCCAATAATTAATATAATTAAATCTAAGAACAATGATACTGTAAGACTTCAAGATACTGTGAGGTCCAACTGCGTAGATCATAATAAATAAATAATTTAATAGTTGACGGTAGCCAGGACTTCTTGGACAAAAAATCTGTCCATGGTAGCTGCAAAGAATTCTGAATGTTGGGTATAAAATAAACGCGTAAAAATACGTAAAATTAGTTTAATTTAGAACTTAACTTGGTTTAACTATTTTATTTAGAATCATTAAATAAACAATTCAAGATAAAACTAATATAAACATCATAAAATACATTATTTTTTATGAAGAAACATAAATCTGAACGTATAATATAATTGGGTATCATATTAATCGATGGATTATGTTCGTTCGTTACAAGTATGTCTGTTACTTAGAACCTCTTGAAGCGGCTATTACAGAATCATACGTAATAGGACGCCATTACATGATTTTAATAGGTTATATTTTGATTACACTGCCAGAACTAAAAAGTTACAAAGTTCTTCAATTGTTAATATTGTGAAACTAATTTACAATTGCTATGATTTGAAACTCGATGAGACGAAACGGGATACAAGTTTCGGTGTGTATTTATAATATACATTGTACACCGTTTAATACTTGCTCTCGTCTGAGCGTTTAACGCGTGTCAGTAGAGGTGTGGTAGGCATCCATTGCCTTGATGGTAGTATAGTAAAATTGGTAAATTTATTTTAATTTTTATTTATATTGCACTGATTCTTTCTCTTGTGTAATAGTTGTGCATTTCAGTACGAGTGTTCTGAACATAGGTACATTACAAAGCTTTAGCGTCGCATATTTATTATTTATTTGCATTTTTATTTTTATCTCCCTAATAAATAAATTTGGGAAGTATGAAACAATAACCTTTAAACTTGATAAAAGTATAATAAAATAAATTAACTTATCAATTATCATATTCCCCATACTCAATTTTTTCTAAAGTTTCACTTCTAGCGTGTGTAAATTGCACACATTTTCACTATTCTATTATTGCTAATGGATATTGTTATCATACAAAATGGTTTATGAAATTTTTAAATGAAAACAAAAATTGCACTTTTTTTGTATGATCTGAGAACTTATAACTGAATTTTATGGTCTATCGTAAACCGTGATATGACAATTTTAAATGTTACCCGACTGCTACAAGGATTTTTATTATTATTGGCGATAATGGATATCGTTCTCACTTTGAGCAATAACTTAAGCACTCAAAGTTTATTGTTTTAGGAAAGTTGTTGAGTGTTAAAAGAGTTTATTTACTGAGATCCTTTAGATATTAGCAAAATGTTAATCATTTTCATGAATATAAATTATTAAATCAAATAATATGCATCCTTGTATCGCGTAAAAATAATCTGTTTTTAATTTATACGAATAATATCTTTGACAGTATCGTACAGTCACAAAACACTCTTAGATGTGAATTAAAATAATTTTATTTTCGACAAACAAATCAATATACATCGAAAAAAATGTGCCTATTTGGATACAAAACTTGGATAAAATATGAATATATATTAGAAATAATATTTATCAAAGATTTAAATAAACGAAAAAATATGTCAAGATGGAACGACAGTAGTGGTACCTTGAAAACGAAATCTATTATATGGCAACTCTAAAGTGTAATCCGCTTGGACTTGACCCGGCTTCGCAGTTAAATCTACAACAGGAGTTGGCGTTCTATATATACTGGGTAAAGTTTAGCTTCTGAATCATAAGTCATCTTTGGGTCACTAGGCTTCCACGTAATAAGTGTCGCCGGTCTGATAGAATTAGATTTTTCTTTGGATTCATCGCTTTGTCTTTTGTCCAATTTGTCGATTCTGTTATCATCTGGCCATGGGCTGTTTACAGTCATCAGTGGAGGTGGCATTGGGGATGTTTCAGCTGGTGGCGGCCAATTGCTGATACTTCTCTTTTCATAGTGTTCATAGGGGAAGGAATGATAAAATCCGTAGTTTAGCGGACTTGAAGCAATCTGGAACAGAACATCTGTTAACAGATTATAATTTTGAAGTTTTAGTAAGTGCTTAAAGCATAGATTCGTGTGGTAAACGTTGATTATTATTTTATCATAGTGTTATATTCATTGTTATATGATAAGACATTGGAAAGCTAAAGGCAATAATTGTTTTGGTTACGCAAACTCATACCTTTCCCCTGTCATGATACCCTTCGTAATTAGTGTCTACCTAAAATATAATGTTAGATTTTAATTTTGGGTTAGTTTTGTTATTTAACAGTTTCAATGAGTGTACAGAGAGACCGTGATATGAAAACAATATTTAAATGTAAAACTGAGTCACGCAATGTAAATAAAATAATTGTATTTATTCGTTATTTACTAATTAAAAGAGAAATTTAAAATATTTACCTTTTTGAGCCCTTGTATAGATGCAAGTATTAGTGCCATCTTTGCCAAAAGAAGAGCTTTACCACCGAGCACTGCAAGGAACTGGAAACCCATGGGAACTAGCACCATTCCGATAGAAACAATTCCGAACATCATCATCGTCATCATATGGTGACGTCTCCTTCCACGGTATTCAACTGAAATGTTAGAAAAGTGTAGATAAAAAAAAATACAGAAATTAAAAAATAAATTCGAGCTTGCCCCTTCGAAATACGTCCAGGTGCTCTAGGCAAGGCTATCCTTAGATCGACATTCTCATCGCATGAAAGTCTTGACGTCTATACATCATTTCTATTGGATTTTTAGCAGTGTTTGGCTTTATCTTTATATGCTTATAATGCTAAAGCGAATGCGACATCTCTAGCTTTCAAATATTCATTGTAAAAATTTTATTGAAATATTTGAATTAAAAATAAATGTTAATAATAACATTTATAACTTTATGAACGGGTTTCTAATATTTATAAATTAAATTACATACATTATGTCAATAGTGTAAAGTTACCTTTGTCGTCAATTTGGGTGTCTTCAAAGTCAAATTTGATGACATGTGTGCGAAGTATTTTGGCTATTCGCTGCAGGGCAAGAGCTCGCCACTCTCCTTCCTCAAGTTCTTTATCTGTCCAAGCACTGTGTGAGATAATATGTAGAAATAAAATGTATTTGATACGCAATTGCAGAAAAACTTATGGTCAATGTTAAAATTTGAAAAATAACACTGTTAATAACTGTATTTATATATAACTATGTTTTAATTTATATTTTTTGTAATATTTATTAGTTTAAGGTATATAATATATACAGTTGGTCTGACCGTAACAGAAGGAATAAAACGCAATAATAACGCAGCTTATTACATATTATAACTTAACCTTACTATTTTTTATTTCATAAGCGTAGTAAGCAAAATAAACTTTAAATAACAGTTAAACTTTAAATGGCCTAAAAGTAATAATAATGTATATGTGTAATGTTACTGTAAATAAAAAAAAAATAGGTTTTAAAAATGTTACGGACAAATGCATACCAGATCTGCAATAAATCCTAGCGTACATATAACTGTCTGTTGTATATAAGTCAAATGCTGTATGAAGACTGCTGTCTTCACGATTATCAAATATTACATCTACATATACAAATAAATATGTATTAGTTATATGGATTAGTCATAATTATTCGTAGTTCTTATAAATGAATATGTAATATACTTTCTGATAGATTGAATGGCTGATTTACTCGTATTATATACTTTTCGAAAAACATCCCAATACGGAATCGCCGATGATCATTACTGTCCTAAAAATTGTATATAAATATATTTTTACGTATACCCTTTTTTAACAAAGCTTGGAATAAGTTATAGCCGCAGTTTTTAGCAGTGTTTAGTACTTATCGAATTACAAAAAGTTCATTTGAATATGATTAAGATTTAACTATGTATAATTATTTTCCTCTAAGATAGACTTTTTGGTAAGGCCATGCAACAGATTCTGCTCTTTTACGAACGGGCAGGCCGAACGCTGGTCTGAATTGGAAGTATGTATTATACTCACGCTTTTCATCTGTTGAGGGAGGTAACTGGGACCGTGTTTTTATAGGTTATCAATACATCTGTAAACCATCAGTTGTTGTAAGGGTCCACGAGCGGCTGTAATCACTTAACACCGAGTGAATCGCCTGCTTACTTGTCAAAATTTCATATGAAAAAATAGCTTGTTAACATGTGTATGCACCTAACATATTATCTAATTATTGGCTTCACTTTTTATGTTAATATATACCCTATGGAGCATCGTCGGCACGGTTTCAATTTAAATCGGTATGAAGCATGGCGAATGCAATTAAATGCGTGTTATATTATTTCTTTTATAGTTAACTAGCGACCCGCCCCGGATTCGCATGGGTGCGAAAGCCTATAAAATTATCAGTGTCTTTCTACTATATTATCCATGAATTACATATTATCCATGAATTACAGATTATTAAACCTTCGTCTTAAATCACTTCATCTATTTAAGAAAACCGCAATAAAGTCCGTTACGTAGTTTTAAAGATCTAAGCATATGTAGGCACAAAGGAGATGTAGATGTCTTAGATTGGAAGCATTAATTAATTATCTAACTTCTAACTTTTCACAAAAACTCTCCAATGCGAGTGGTATTGGACTCACATTGTTCCAAAATACTTCACGACGAAACAGTTCACAATTCACCTGCCTAAACTAGGTATAGCCATATCATTTCATCGTTTTAACAATAACTATAACAACGACTTTATTTCAGTCCATAGATCTATAACTACATTTTTTTTAACTTACAAGCAGCATTAAAGGAAACATTTAAACATATTTACAACAACTAAATTAACTAATATATTTGAATGAAAAATGCTAGGCGTGAACATTTTCCAGAGTTTTAAAATTGGATCATCCCATTTATACGTTTTTAAATATATTTTCGGGACTATTTATCACACGAAACATCAAAGAAAATATTCATAAGATGTTCATATGTTCATATTTGTCCGCTTCTGCCTGTATACCTACCGTTACCGTTTCGACATTTTGTTGTAAGTGGAGCGTTTGATTGCGAAACATTAATTTGAAACCTACATACATTTAAGCAACGTAGACATTATTCGTCGCGTCGGTCAATAACATCATTTAAACTACATGATCTTATATAATAGACAGGAATTCTTTTAATAATTAAATTTAATTAGGTATATTAGCGTGGACAGATATAGACAGTTGGATAGATTCATAAAAATACTTAATGTAATGTTTTTGGAAATATGTTTAATCTTTTATTTTATATGGAACTAAAGCCGAATTTGATAAAAATCGACTGGATATTTTGATGACTTGTATTTGAAATTTAGAGAAGACAGTCGAGTGTTATTTGTAAGTAAATTTGAAATAAAATTTTGTGATATTTGTTAATTTTGATGCTAAAATATACAGGAAGTATCTTACCTTGACTTATTGGAGGGAACCGTATTACCAGATCCATCGACCAGCTCGAATCTCACTAGATTTACACCTTCTGATATAGGCACTACGTCCAAGCTAAGTGAACGATCTAAAGCTCTCAACGTCTTTCTCTTCATACATTTAACAAACTTTGGGAAGTATTCCTTATGATCGATAATATCCTTGACGTCTACTAACTATAACAATAAAGCAAGTCAGTGGTAGCTCTAGCCAAGTAAACAAAGTTACAACAATAAAGTTCTTGAGAAATTTGTAAAGCAAATTTCTGTTGATATTAGCAAAATTGGGATATGTGATATTTGATTTAACGCTCGTAACTATTTCAAATATTTTTGTTATTTTTGGAAAACCCTTATCTCAATTAAACAAGATAAAGTGTGTTGGATGTTAAACCAAACAAAAGCGGCATAAGCGGCAACAGGCTTGAAGAACTGATAACCGATAAGCTTCTATATACAAGCTATTTCGCACCGAATATTATAAACGCCCACTATACAATTTCATTTGGGAGTTTACCTAATAGTAGTAAGAATAACGACTTATCATTTCAACATTAATATGAACTTTTTATATGCGCACCTTCTTTGAGCAATCCCGCCATATTATTTTCAACACATCAGCCCCTTCTAACCACAAGTCTGCAACAAAGCTACTTAAATACGTTTCAGAATCCTCAACTTGATTCCCGCAACAGGAAGATATCAATAACAGAGCTTGAAACGGCACTAGTGTGAGTTTCACATTGGATAGAGATAGTTCATTCTTGGTCCTCATTTTCCTAGTACTTCGTGCATATCTTAAAGGAATAACCAGCAATCTGAAAAAGAAATAGGAATATGTGATATTCACAGCAAGAGCATAAGAAAATCATTATACGAATGTATAAAAAAATAATAAGACATGAGGCTTTTTTTATGCGTGAAGGTAGCAATTGAGACGGCGGTTCACCTCATGTTCAATGATATCCGCTGCCCATTGACATTAATTGCAACAGCCGTAGGGTTGCAAATGCGTTGCCTGCTTTTAATAAAGTGGGCCCTGGCTACTGCACTCACCAGACGAAACAAGAAAGTATAACACTTCCACTTCACGCCGGTCTTCTGTGAAGTAGTACCTACCCGGATGAACCTGCCCATTCGTGCAACAGAACAACGAACACTTGCGTGGCCTTACCACAGTTAATGATTATTTATCTCTCAAGAAGTCAAGCACAACTTTTAACCGGGCTTTTTTAATTTTAAGGCTCACTCCAAAAAACTTTCTGCTAAGGTGTATGTCACAAATTGTAACTCACAATAAATATAAGTTATATAAAGTATTTATTAATTTTATTTTTAATTCTAGCTATTCCCATCCCGGACGTTTTTATGTTGGTATTAATATAGTACATAATATTTCATTAACATTGAAATATTATGTTCTTTTTAATTTAAATTGTGTTTTACAACTGTAATGTTTGTTTCAAAAAATATAAGACCATTCAACTCGGCATTCATTCGTAAAAACAACTGAGCTTGTTATTCGTTTCACCTTTTGATTATTTAACTGCGAGGGGCTCATTGTTTTGGCTTTAAACCTAAAACAACAAAGGAAATATCCAACTCTGTAACAGCATTAAAATTATATCGATCTCAAACATTATGAATCCATACATTTTTATGTAGATACTTATCTAGTTAAAATTAGTATAGGACTGACTCTGATAAAACGAAAAGCCAATTTTTTTTTAAATTATTTCAACCTCTAACATGGCGTAGAAACTTACCATTAGTATCACTGCAGAAATTTGATCACAATTTATAGAAAAATCCTTTTTACACGTAACCAAAACCTCTATTGGTCAAGGTTAAGGTATAAATGAAACGCGTGGCTGACATCTTTATGTTTTATGGTGTATAGTCGTATAGAAAGCGAACAATCTTCAACGTAATCATCGACCAAAACATGTCAATAGTTGACCATACATAGGTGATTATGGAATCGCATGACAGAACTCTAATTCTAGCTCTTCTATGATATCTACACTGCTTACCGCTAGCTTTGACTGTTAAGAATAAAACAGTTCTTTATTAAATTTCTAACTTTGAAAATTTTCTATTTCATTGGCCAAGTAAATAGCATTTACAAGAGAAATTTCATTCGTTAACCTGTTTTACACCAAAGTCTCAATAAATCAGCTTTCTTTTTATTTATTTCACGACTGAACTTTTGCACATTTCTTACATAAAAAGTCTTTTAGAATAATAGTTGGATATTTTCTCATTACAATGGGGCCAGGCGCAGGGTATGATGATATATAGCATAACTTATATTTGTAAAATATTCATGGCTTTAATGTTTTCCGTTTTAATCACAAATTTTTAATAAAATAAGAATCACATAAAAATGTTAACATTTTTATTCTGTATTATGTAAACTACTTCGCCCCTAGTTACTGTTCTTCCTTTTATGTTGATAATTGTTACTGAATAAATCATATGTGTAATTTATCTCCCCATAGGTATTTATATTTTGAATTGGTGATTAAGGTCAGCACAGCAGTTAATAATAATATGTTTGCCTGTTTCAATTCCTTTCTATTTTGTATTAATAATTAATAACCAAATCATAGCGATATGGTAACGACATGTGTCTTTACAGATATGTTAGCAAATAAATGCAAGAATCTTTCACAAAATTTATTTGATATAAATATTTGCGACAAGTTGTTGCTATCAGATCCAAATAACATTTATTACATCCTATTTTGCTGTAACTGATCCATTTTTAAACATTTTTTTATTAACTGAACTGCATTTTGAAGACGTAAGTTTTATATAAAGTTATTGGAGGTATGTATTTCATATTTAGTATTCGAAGAAAAACTTTGAAAACGTATTATAATAATAAAAATATTGCTATAATTATGAATGTCAAAAAGCTCGTAATCTTTTACATGTTTCGGCGTACAAGTAGAGAAGTTTAATAAAATTATGTCTAATAATAATTAAAACACGTAGTAAGTAAATTAAGTGAAATTTTCTGGTGGTAATCTAGCATCACGTTTCACTTCCCGGCCCAATACCGCTCGTTAGGCTAGGATTCTGCTTCGAAGTTATCAGCGTGTAGTAACTTTGATAGATTCTAGTGCTATTGCTAATGTCACCTCATTCTTGAATTTATTGCTCCTACCCCAAGTAAGAGCTAACCGAGTTTTCATGATATATAGGTCTCCTCTTCATCACGAAGCATGAAGTGCAAAGTTTCTGGACAGCACGATGGTTCACCATTTTGGTCAACAAAAAAAATATAAAAAAAATATTTTATGATATAAAAATGTAATTATTCCTCGTTTTAATCGTCTAAATTGTATTCAATTTGCAAGTGATTCTGGCAAATTTAAAACTGGCTATGGAAAAGAGGTTTAAGTAGCACCACTGTTTCGAAAATTCGTTTAACCTATTTAGATATGCTGATTTTGAAAAGTTCTTTAAATTACTAGTTCTACTAGTATTATAAACGTTTTTTATCAAACAAAGAACACAAAGAGAATAAAATAGTGAAAATAAATTTTAAGTGCGCTATAAATGCACACATAATCAACCGCTAGTTATTAATATAATCACAATACACAAATCAACCACTTAGATATTAATTTAATTTTCATATTGTATTGAATCTATGAGTACATACCATTTCTTACCTGTCTATCTTAAATTACGTTTTACCTAATACTCAATAAGATCGAATTGAAATACGCGGGCTGTTCCCTAACCAAGTGGTTTGCCCTATTGATGCGAGGTCAGTGAAAGAATATCGAGCACAACTTGAACCTTGCCTTTCAACCATCCCGGAATAGCAAATTTTTTGTTTAACTGTATTATAAAATTATGTTTTTAGCATGATATAGTAAATAGCCTCAATTGTAAGATAATTATATTCAAATCATTGCGGCAACACCGAAAGAGACATAATCGCCTTTTTTATGTGGTTGTCAAAGACATCGAAAATAGTTACTAATATAAAGTTAGGTATCATAATAATTAAGCACACCATTATATTTAAAATTTTCTTCGAAATCCAATTGTTGTCATCGACATAATTATTATACAATCGATGAATCAGCTCATACACAAAGCTATCGTAATTCCTAATAAGCTCAATTATATGAAAGAATGTAATGCCTGGCAGGTTGCTTAAAATTTCATTAAAAAATCCATCGCCTAGTCAGGACGAGTACAGTACTCACACATGACCAAACTTTGCAAAAGGTACACGTATATTTCCTTCAGGTCCCACTAAATGAACACAATCTCAATTGCCCTCAGTCGAAAACCCCTCTTACAACATACTCTTGTATATTTACTTTAATAAGGCCTTAAAAGTTTAGTGGCATAGCGACATTTCTTTATGATCGCTATTCGTGCATGGAATCGTATATTGACTTTTCTGTTATTCTAATCAAACTTAACGTACATCAAAAATTTTAAGATTATATTGCAGACGTTCGATCATAAACTTATCTTTAAATATAGTAAAAAAAAAGGATTTTTTTTTCTTGATTCAACCAAGAAGTGTTAAATTTTAAATATCTTACTGTGTACATAATATATAACCGTAAAAACGACACTGTACGAGCAAACGAGGCTAGAACCAGCTACAAATAAGTAATAGTTTAAAAAACTAAAAAACAGAATTTTCGACATAATCGAACTAAAAAGTAGAAGATAACTTTTAATAAATATAAATTTAATATAGTGGGATTAACAAAAACATTTTCTATTGTAGAAAAGCGTGGGGTGTTAAACTTGTTCATCATGGAATTGGTGCGCTTTTCCAGCTCTTAATGCACAGCATAAATATTTGCTGGTCTATTTTATGGGTGACAAAGAAGGCGAAGTGGACTGTCGCTGTCAGAGACTAGAAAAAGATACAGTGAAGAATTCTGTATGAATGTAACTTCTTAATCGATACGTTTAAAACTGCCATAGTGAAACTGCAGCTAGAGGATTATAATGTAGTAAGTAATACGTCATGCTTATCGAACTTCGCAAAGACAATACAGAAGGCGTTATGATGAACTATTAATGAAATTGTTGCCATAGTGACGAACAGTCTTCATCAAGAGATGCCTTTA